CTCGGCGCGGCAGGCGGTGCGAGCAGGAGGAGGAGGAGGAGGAGGAGGAGGAGGAGGAGGAGGAGGAGGACGCGCAGAGGAACCGGAAGAAGGATGGGCTGAGGAGGTGGAGCGGGCCCATGGGACAGCAGTGGAGGGGCTGAGGAGGAGGAGGAGGAGGAGGAGGAGGAGGAGGAGGAGGAGGAGGAGGAGGAGGAGGAGGGTGGGGAGGGAAGAGGATCAACAGCAGGAGGAGGGCGCGGAGGGAGAGGGAGAGGGGAAGGGAGGGGGAGCCAGGAGGAGGAGGAGGAGGAGGAGGAGGAGGAGGAGGAGGCTGGAGAAGGCAGGAGGAGGTAGGGGGAGAAGGGGGAGGAATGGCCGTTCTTCAACTCTCCCTCTCTCTTTCCATCCCTCCGCCTCCTCCCTTCCTCCCTCCCTCCCGCCCTCCCGCCCTCCCTCGCCTTCTCTTCCTCCTCCTCCTCCTTCTCCTCCTCCTCCACGACGGGTCCAATCCATTTCAATGTTCTTACTCGTCCTCCCCCTCCTCCTCCTCCTTCTCCTCTTCATCCGTCTCATTATCCTCCTCCTCCTCTTCTTCCTCCGAAATTAGAACTCCACAAATGGCCAAATCCAATCCAGTCCAGCCACATTAGCTTTCCCCCCCTGTTCAACCTCCTGCTTCTCCCCATCCTCTCCCTCATTCTCCCTCTTCTTACCCCCCTCCCCGAATCTGGCGGGCGAAGGCCATCAGCGAACCTATCGTGGACTTCGCCTACGTCGTACAAGCGAGTGGCGACACAGACAAGCATATTCTGAAATCGAGCGATGCACCGGCGGTGACCATGCCACAAACCGAGCAAAGGCGGTAGCCAAGATATAACAGCATGGCCAAGGCATGGCGAACATGCTATCCACGAGGGGGTAACATATCGGCAACATGAGCAGACGGCTGCTACTATGATGGTAGCTCGTTTGTATACGGGGCAGACCGTAATATGTGAAACGACGTGGGCGAGCAAAAGCTCGTCCAGAGAAGTGCGGAGGGCATAATTTGCGAACTGCAGATTCCGAACTTGCCGTCAGCCTCACGAGCGAGATGGGCCAACCGTTGACAGGGCTACCAACAGATTGCTCCATGTGTAGCGGGTGGGCTGGATGTGGTCACTTGATGTGCGGATAGCCAGCTGTCCAATGCCTCTGCTGTGCCATGCGCGCGTGAGAAATCCGGAACACTACACTTCACCTATATGGCGTCTCCAGGGCCAAGCCTGGTGATGCGCACACTCTGAGAACCTTCAGGGCAAGCCTGGCTCTGGAAGATGCGGGAGCCCTGCCGCGACTACAGCAGCGAGGAGTTCCAGCGCACACGTGCACTGCCTGAGCGTCGTGACTTGGCCACGAGTTTCAAGACCCATTCTCCTAACCAAGCATATTAGCTCGGACAAAAACGAAAGCCATTGCCAAGACGACAGCGCTTGCTGAACAGAGACGATCCAAGCGTTCGAGGAGCGCCTGTGCAACATCAGGCAGCCCCGTAAGCGAATCGCAAAACAAATATTCAGGTGGGCTCCTGGGAGAACTCACCCAATTCAAGCCCAGGCGGCACCAGGAAGCTGGAAAGACACATTTGGCGGCCGTGCGATGGAGACACATGTGGAAAGCCGGCGCGCCTGGCCATGGAAGGGCCGAGCACTGGAAAGCCAGATGGCCAGATGTGTGCCCAACTCTCGCCAAGACCGGCCGCGTCACGTGCACCCAGAGGGTTGACGAAACAACGGAACCCGTAACCTCAGTTAGGAGGGCCTAGAACATTGGGGATGGGGGGTGTTTCTGAGGATGTGTCAGACCAGTTCGCCCAGACTTATTATCCCCGGTGCAAAGACGGGGACCTCAGTGAAGCCTCGTCTTCATCGTGTTAGTAAGGTTAGGGGTTCTTTTGATCTCGATGATCTGCGATCTTATTTTTTAAGCCCGCGGCCCCGAAGCCCCCGACCGCTTCCACGGGGGGAACCCTCGTCCGAGATCCAGGTTTGATGGCCCCCAGGCCCCGAGAACGACCCCGGACAACCAACATCGAGGAGAAACGCCCGCATGAACAAACAATACCGTCTGAGATCTGGGTACATCCAGCTTCCTGAATAAGACGAAGCCCACCGCTTCCAACGACCACTGGTCCCCGCAGCGGCCGAGCTGCCGCATGGCGTCGGGCAGCCAGTTGCTGCCCTCCGTGCGAGAGCGCGCCCCGGCGCGAGCTCGCACCCTGCGCGACACTGGCCTGCCGCTGAGCACCGCTCGGGGCAGCCAGGTCCCAGCCGCGCTGGCCATGCGGCTCCGAGCCCAGATCTCCAACGCACTGCGGAAGTCAAGACGGAGGTGTTTTGGGGTGCGGGCGGGGGGCGAACGAGGGGGGGGGGAACGCTGCCCTCCTCGGGCCCTGCAGGCCTCCTCTGGGGCCCGAACAAGCCCCTTTGAGGGCCCGAAAGGGCTCCTCTTCTGCAGCCCTCGCTGCCCATCCATGTCATCGTCCCCCCACTGCAGTCGACCCGTATCATGATGACGCGCGGTAAGGATGCAAGGGCCTTGGAGGGCCATGTTAACGTTTTTCGATTGAGGCTGGCCAGCGAAAGTCGCTAAGGATGGGCCGAAAGGGCAAGGATGCAAGGGTACCCTTGGGAAGGTTGCTCATCCTTACTATGCGGGTTGACTGTCAGTCGCGCCGGACGTGTTTCGCCATGTTCGGCGACCCTGGGGGGCGATTCGTCGGGCCAGGAGGCCGTCCAAAAACGATGCTTAGGGCGAAAGCATGATCGACCCACGAACCCAGAAAGGAATCTAGGAATGTAAGGCATGGTAAAGACTTTGACTTCAAGACGCCTGATTGAGCGACGGGAAATTGCAATGCTGAAAATATCGATTTTGATGTGCCCTGCCAAAGGCTGCGCTGTGCTGCGCCCAGGAGCGCCCCCAAGAGGTGTCATACATCAGCTACGTCAACATCCATGAGTTTGGCTGTTCACGCGAGATCGTCACTTTCGAATATTCGAAGGTTGCCCAAGCGAGTTCAACATCTCTATCTGATGAGGATGTCTCGAGCGAGTGCTCTACTCTTAAACGTAAAAGGTCATCCGTTGCAAGCAGAATCGATAGCACCCCGGATCGGCGGCACTGGCCGGAGGCCACTACAATATCGATCTTGATGTACCCTGCCAAGGGCTGTGATGTGCTGCGCCGTGCTGAATTGCGATGTGCCATGCCGCGATTGTGTTCTATAGCGTTGTGGATCGAGTCCTCCTTTGCATCCGAGACCTGACCGAACTGATCTGGATCTTAAGCTCGAGCTGCCTGGGCACATAGTAGCTGCCCCAGAGCTAATTGACATGGGGGACATGTCAGGGGGACGCGCCGCGGAACGCGCCAGGGGACGCGCCAGGGGACTTGCCAGGGGACATGCCATGGGGACGCACCGCGGTGCGTGCCAAGGGGACGCGCTACGGAACGTGCCAATGGACGTGCCACGAGACGTGCCAGGGGACGCGCCGCGCGACGTGCCAGGGGGACTCGCCATGGGACGCGCCACGGAACGTGCCAGGGAACGCGCCACGCGACGCACCAGGGAACGCGCCAGGAAACGCGTCAAGAAACGTGCCACGGGACGTCCCTGACCCAGAGCCAGGATCCCTCGTAAATTACGCTGCGTCCGCGCTCCCAGGTCCACAATCCCTCGATAACTACACTGCGTCCGCGCTCCCAGGGCCACGATTCCTTCAAAAGTACATGGCGTCCGCTCTCCCTGGGCCACGATCCCTGGTAAACTACGCTGCGTCCGCGCTCCCAGGGCAGCGCTACCTCGTGAACTGCGCTGCATCCGCGATCCCAGGGCCACGATCCATTGAAAACTGAGCTGCGTCCGCGCTCCCAAGGCCACGACCCCTGCTAAATTACTTTGCGCCCGCGCTCCCTGGGCCACGATCCCTCATGAACTACGCTGCGTCCGCGCTCCCAGGACCACGATCCATTGTGAAGTAGGCTGCGTCCGCACTCTCAGGGCCACGACCCCGTGTAAGTTACGCTTCGTCCGCTCTCCGTGGGCCACGATCCCTCGTCAACTACTCTGCGTCCGCGCTCCCAGGGCCGCGCTCCCTGGTGAACTGCGCTGCGTCCGCTCTCCCAGGGCCACGATCCATTGCAAACTGCACCGCGTCCGCGCTTCCAGGGCTGCGCTCCCTCGTAGACCACGCTGCGTCCGCGCTCCCAGGGCCACGAACAGTTGTAAATCATGCTGCGTCCGCGCTCCCCGGCCACGATCCACCGTAAATTACGCTGCGTCCGCGCTCCCAGGGCCACGACCCCTGCTAAAATACTTTGCGCCCGCGCTCCCAAGGCCACGATCCCTCATAAACTACGCGGTGTCCGCGCTCCCAGGGCCACGATCCATTGTGAAGTAGGCTGCGTCCGCACTCGCAGGGCCACGACCCCGTGTAAATTACGCTGCGCCCGCTCTTCCTGGGCAACGATCCCTAGTAAACTACGCTGCGTCCGCGCTCTCAGGGCCGCGCTCCCTGGTAAATTACGATGTGTCCGCGTTCCCAGGGTTCCCAAATAAACTACACTGCGTCTGCGCCGCCAAGGCCACAATCTCTCCTAAACTACGCTGCGTCCGCGCTCCCAAGGCCACTAGTCATTGTAAATTACGCTGCATCCGCGTCTCAAGGCCACGATCCATTGTAAATTACGATGCGCCCGCGCTCCCAGGGCCACGATCCCTTCTAAATTACGCTTCGTCCGCACTCCCAGGGCCCCCTGGGGCATCCTTGGGCGCCCAGGTTCCTGGAAGTATCCAAAACATGCGCTTCGCTCGAGACATCTTTAACATAGTCTGCAAAACAAGCGTTTCGCTCAAGACATCCGCAACAAACGAAACTGCTTATTGTACCTTGTGTTTTATCGATCGGAGTTTCAAAAACCAGCGTTGCGTTCGGGACATCCTCTAATCCTAATTCGCCGGCCCTACGCGACCTCGC